GAAGTCAGCCACCATGTTGTGAACATACACAAACAGCCCTGTGGAGAGGCCAATGCATGAAGAGGCCACGAGGAAAGGAACAAACTTGCCAGCCAGATGAGTGAGCCACCTTGAAAGCAGATCCTCCTGAGTCAGTCAAAACTTCGGATGATTCCAGGCCCCAGTCTTCAAGTCTTTCAGCTGAGACCCCAGATAACGTGAAGAAACAAACCATCCCTGCTATGCCCTATTTGAATATTTGACCCACAGAAACCAGGAAATAATAAATTATTGTTGTTTCGAACCACTAAGTTTTGGGGTGATTTATTATGCAGCAATACATAATTAATATGGAGGAGTCAGAAAGGCAGGAGAGAAATTAAAAGAGTTGGTATTTTAAATTTAAAAAACTCAGCTAGTTCAATTGTACTGACGGATACACAGTGACTCCCTGTATTTCTCTTTTTATTACATTTTAAAAATTGAGATATTATTACATAAAATAACATGCACAGATCTTAAGTGTTGTTCAGTGAGTTTTCATTATTGTTTGTACCCAGGTAACAACTACTCAAGCCAAGATGTAGAAGACTTTCATCATCCCAGAAAGTCCCCTCCTGCTCCTTTCTAGTCAATTCTTTCATCCCAACTCCACAATCACTTCTTAAATTCAATTGTCAAAGATTAGTCTTGCCTTTTTAAAAATTTTTATGTAAATGGAATTATGCAGTATGTATTATTTTGTGTCTGGTTTCTTTCTTTCAGCATACTGTTAGTGAGATTCATTCAAGTCATTGCCTGTATCAATAGTTATTACTTCTTATTTGCAAGTAGTATTCCACTGTATGAATATACCAAAATTTATTTAACCATTTTTCTCCCTTTCTTAATTAAAATAACTTTACTTATTTCTACTTCATCATACGCAGTGGAAACATCAAAATTACATGGACAAAACTATGTGAACAAAATTACATGTAAAAAATTTGATATCGTTATAAATAACACCATATAAAGAGGTGTAATGCATTTGGAAATGCTTGATAGTTATCATCTCTACAGATTCTGTAGAATGAGAAAGTTATAAGCCCTCTGAGTACATTGTCCATATGATATTTAACAGGGAAATACATATTGCCAGGGAAATACATATTGCCAGGCAAAGATCATATATGGGTTGATTCTTTTGAAAAAAAAATTGAACCAAAAGACACATTTAGAATTAGTGACATAGAAATAAAGAAAATAGGAAAAAAGAGGAAGTTTCTTTTATTTGTTGTATACACACACACACACACACACACACACACACACACGGATCAGCAGTATCCCTAGAGTTATTTTACATATGGAGGCCAGTGAGACATACGGGCCAATGGTGCAGCATATCTAAAGGAGTTCTCAGTTGTTCTCTGTAGAGTATTTGATACTCCTTTAAATCAAATCTAATTGAATGTTTTTGATATATTTAATTACATATTAAAGGCACTTGATACAGACCTGGGAACTGTAATAATTCATCTATGAAATCCTTTTTTGTTCTTGGTGATTCTAAGATCATGTGTTCAGAAATATGTTGGTTAAGAGATTATTTCTAGTTGGATTTCCTAAGGACATTTTATTAATGACACTAGTTTTAAAAAGAGTTATCATCTTCTCGGTTCTGAACTTCTGAAACATAAATACTTCCAAATCATGCTGAATTTGAGATACAGTAAAGATAGAGAGACTAAGTCTAATTTTGTTATTATCCCCAGAGGGTCAAAATAATCCCAAACTGTATATTAACTACTCGCCTGCAATTTCTAATTTACAATCTCTGTCAGTTTTGAGTTATGGGAGCAGCCGATAGAGTATCCAAAAACACTTTGTTTCTACTCTGCCTTTCTTCCTGGTAATATAAATATCTGAAGAGGTTATTGCTTAACCTATAAAACAGAGACATTATAATTTATGAATATGAAAAAAACCCTGCTCATTTCTGTTAAACTCTGTGACGAGCTGGAAATGGTGATTTTTCTCAGTGGAAAGGATATCTTCAAGGAAGAGCTTTCCTTATATCCTTAAGAACCCTCTGATCCCACCTTAGCTTGGTCACTCTCTATCACTAAACTTTTGACAACTTTTCTCACCCTCTTCTTTGTTTCTGCTTTTCCGCATCAATTAAGCAAAAACACTCTCCTCATCGCTATCGTCCCGTGGTATTGCCAACGACCAAGCCCCTGAGACACAGCTTCAAGCGTGCAGTTGGGAATCTGAGCAGGTGTAAAGCTCCCTGTACTACTGCCTTCTTCTCTGGAAGCTGAAAATTGAAGTCGGCAGTTGTAATCAGACTAGAAGGATTACCAGTTTCTCTGGGCTGTTGTTCACTGCTACTGGGTTCATTTGTAACTTGTCTCAGCTAGGCAATTAAAAGAAAGACTTTATTAGAAGAATTTACGTACAACTCTTTTACAACTACAAGCCACACGAGTTCTGCAACTTAGAAGACAAACCTACAGGAGTATCCTATTATTTTCCTTAACTATTCTAACTTACATCTAATTTAAGGTTTTGAGGAAAGGGCTAGGAATATTTTATTCCTAACTAAATGAGAGCACAGCAGTGTTGTCAGCAAATAGAGCCTGTATCTAGTTATAAATTAGTAATAGAAATAACGTTCTCCATTGACTATTGTAGTGAATCAAGCTATTTTTGTAAAGTACTCAGGTAGCCTTTGGTTCAAGGCTAATAGCTAATTCTGTGATAGATAAAATACTTTAAAATCACAAACAATCTAAACAGTCCCTCCACTTGTTTGCATATTTGTTGTTAGCAACATCCAGTCAATGGGACTCCTAGTGACTCTGTGTACAGCAGAGTGGAACGCTGCCCAGTCTTCCCAGTCTTTTTGCACCATCTTGGTGCTAGATCAGGCAATGCTCCAATACTCTGCTGCTATTCATAAGGTTTTCATGGCCAATTTTTTTGGAAGTGGGTGGCCAGGTCCTTCTTTCTAGTCTGTCTTAGTCTGGAAGCTCCTCTGAAACCTATTCACCAGGGGTGACCCTGCTGGTATTTGAAATCCTGGTGGCAGACCTTTCAGCATCACGGCAACATGCAGCCGCCACAGTATGACAGACGGGTGGTGTGTTTCCTTGACAAGGAAAGGAACCCAGACCATGGCAGTGAGGGCTCCGAATCTTAGCCACTAGACCACTAGGGCTGGTTCTGCTTGTCTATAGGAAGTAATTAATAAAACAGGTAATCCACAAGAGTTCACAATTTGTTCCCCTCACCTCCATCCCTAACTAGGTGAGTGGCTTAATTATATGGTTACTTAATAATTCTGAGACTCAATTTTTTTCATCTTTAAAAGTAGAAACTATAATTATAAGGGGGTTGTAAGGAGTAACAGTCAACTATGTAAAGCACCTAGCATGTGCTTGTTACAGAATAGTACATACTCAGCAATTGGTAGCTATATTATTCACAACAAAATATAATTAATTCCATGCAGTCAATTAGCATCCTAGAAATGTGTATTATGTTTGCCTAGAAAAACTAAGTATTGTTTTGTTTTGTTTTAGCATTTGTGTTGTTCTCAGTGAGGCCCAAGTAAGGTGGGTAGCTTGGTGTAATGCCAGCTTTTATTGGTCTATTCTTACTAGAAATCCTAATGGTGTAATGACCCCAAACCTGACAATGACCTTCCCTCAGCCTGTTTGCTCCTCTTGTGAGAGAGAGTGCTGCTTCCTCTGCTCCTAGGTGGAACATCGGGACGTGCGGTTTGGATTCTGCTTTTTAAGCTACTGCTTTTGTGCCATGGACTGTATTTTTCTCACTGACCCCGAAGGAAGGTATAAGGAAAACACTGAACACCCAAGTTTGTAGGGACTTGGCCATTTACAGGGAGAGCTGATGACAATTAGTTTATATTTCTGAGGAAACAAAGCAGGGAATTAGACTTTCTTTAAATTAGTTGATAGTGAACAATCTAGGAGTAGACTTTATCTATCCTAGCATCTTGGCAACATCATTTATTTTTAATACAGCTCTCTGAATGTTAAAATGACCATACCAAAGTAGGTATAAATACTCCAAATTGATGGGATCATTTCTTAGTGGTTTCACTGAAATTTGCTCTAAGTGCTACTGAGTAGAGGTATGTGGGAAGGAGAAGAATCGGTTTTATTGATTTGTTCTGTGACTCTGGGCAGGGACCAAATCTCTCTTGAACATCCTTATACTGTAGCAAACGGGTAGGTACTTTAAAAACACCTCAAATGTGGACTGAGTTAAATTGTCCATGTCCAAGGTGAATAATAAACCCCCCAGGCACTGTTGTGGAGATGAGTGAAGACTGGCTGGGGACTCCATACAAAGGAATAAGAGAGTTTAAAAACAAATACATGTGAGAGAGTTCACAATTAGCCCAGCATCTCTATAAACAGGTATTTCAAAAGCGAATACCTCAACGGGAAAAAGGCCTCTATTTGTCAGCTGGGTTGCAGAACTTAGAAAAAGAAGAGCCTTTGCTTTGGTTGGAAAATAAGAACAATTTTAACTTCTGGAAACGACTTCACAGCTTGGAGCCCAGCAATGCCTATTCTGAATTAAACTGTCTATTAATTAAATTCAAATGATTTCAACATTCATCACCTTGCATTGCACCTCTCAGAAAACAAAAACAAAACCAAAAAAATCCTGGGGTTTTGAGTGAGGGAAACAGACACCATACACACACGCACGCACACACATACACCCCACATACACACACACACACGCACACACACACGCAGCCTGTCTAGAGTGCACAGGCTTTAGGAGGCCGAGGGACCCGCGCCGGCTGCCGCGGGCGATTGACAGACCCCGCCCGAGGGCCCGCAGAGCAGGCGCTGGGTCCCGGCGCGTTGGCAGTTGGCGACCCCCCTCGACTCCCCCTCTGCTGCGGGCTCCCTGTGGCCTTTGGAGGCTGGGGAGTCGGCTCCAAATGTTTTCCATATTTGTTCAGCCTCCGTAATCCGAATACCAGGGCAGGCGGGGCCCAGCGCGCCGCACACGCACCCGCCCACGCAGCGGCCATGGGCAAGGACGAGAAGCCCCGCGGCCAGCAGAGGCAGGGGGGGCCGCCGGCCGCGGACGCCGCCGGGCCCGACGACATGGGGCCGAAGAAGGGCAAAGGGGCCCCCAAGGAGTGCGGGGAGGAGGAGGCCCGGAAGTGCTGCGGCTGCCGGTTCCCGCTGCTGCTCGCCCTGCTGCAGCTGGCCCTGGGCATCGCCGTGACCGTGGTGGGCTTTCTCATGGCGAGCACCAGCTCCTCCCTGCTAGTCAGAGACACTCCATTTTGGGCTGGGATCATTGTAAGCATCAAGTCTGTTTTGCCTAAGCGCGTTTGCCAAACAGGAATGCAAAGCCGCGTGGTCGAGTTAAGACTAACCCAACTGCATGCGCCCCCTTCCCCGGCTCCACTGCTGTAACTCACGCTCTGCTTGGGGACTGTGCCTGCCACACTTGGTTTGCCCGGGGGCAAGCCTGGGCGCGGTAGGACTCGTGCCCCTCTCCTGCTTGTGGCTCCGAACGCCTCCAAATGGGCCTGACTCCTACGCGCAGGAGCTGGGGAGGCGAGTCAAAGGCTGCTTATTTTGGTCAAATTGAAGCTTCTGCCTAACAACACAGATTTGCTGTGGCTTTTCCCTTATCCTAGTCCCAGGACCCCACCCTTGTCCCTAAATAAGTAACAAAAAGTGAACTAAGTTCCTCTAGTAGAAGCAGGTTAGGAAAAAGCTTGTACTTGGAGCTGCCACATTGGGTAGTATTCATTTTATTTTCTACATTTGAGGTTCCGTTAGTACGTTTTATAAAATAATGGTCTAAGGCAGAAAATGCGAATACAGCAAGCATAGCTATAATTCGCTGGAGCCGAAAGTGGGATAAACCCAGGGCACTGGCCATAGCAGAGGTATATTTGGGACTCTGCTATTGGATGTACTGTTCAAAGCAGAACACTGCTCAGCTGTTGTAAGTGTTGAAACACACAGCGTACTTGGCTTAATTAATTGGATTCTTTAATGTGAAATGGGTGCCATTTATGAGCATCTACTGTGTACCTGTCCTGCTCGAGGCCTTTCATATATTATTTCTAATCCCCACATCATCCTTATGAGATAGTTATCATTCCATTTCTCCGATCAGCGAACTGAGGGCAGACTCACCCAGGGTCGTGAGTTGGCCAAGTTGGCACATCAGCCAAGTGGATTCCTTTTTGCACCCAACTATATCTGCATTTTCTTCCTTGAGCCACCCTGCCACCACATTTAGTTTGTATTTTAATATTATATTATAGTGCCTTGTGGCTTACTAAAATTGCTTTCATGTGCAGTATTTCGTTTGATCCACGACACAACACTTTGAGGTGGGAACTGTTATTACTCTTTGGACCTGAGGAAATAGGCTAAGAGAAGTTAAATGGAATCCTCAAGGCCCAGAGATTAAAAGTGGCGGAGTCGGGCAAGATTAGAATCGACACTTCTGGCTCCAGGTCTCAGGTTGCATCATTACTGCTATTACTGACCACAGGAACTATAACTCATAAAACAACTCTCAAAATAATTATCTATCAGGGCAGATGTTAGAAAGACGTGATACATATGCAGCGATGCAGGTATTTTCTGATTAAGATGATCTGAACTCACAAATTCTTGCAGAGTAATTTAAAACTTTTAATTTGTGTACTATGAATTCCCATGAAATTAGTGTGATTGGAGTTTTCTAAATCAAGTGATTTTAAAAATAGCTTTCACTAAGTTATACTGGGTATTTTAGTCACCTCAATGACTGTCAGGATACTCAGAGGAAAAAAATGTCTGTCTTTTAAGGCTAGGTGAATTAAAAGAAAAAAGGAATGAAACTCCTTCATTCAGTGGTTTGGAATATCATTTGTGAATGTGTTTTCCACAGTTTCTTTATTTCAACTTTAAAAAGCCCGGTACCAAAAAAGCAAATTAGATGGGAAAGAATTTGTCTTCATGTTAAAAGCATGAACATACAAATCGTGCAACTCTGAAATTTTATGACGCAGAGCATCACATGCACCTAATTGCCCTGGGAGCAACCCGGGTGTGGTACAAAGAGCATTATCTACTGCAGGTCTCTGTTCTTTCCAGTTTTCTAGTTTATGATCTAGGATCCACTTGAAGTTTGCTGGTAGTGATATCTGTAATCTGAAATTTTCTTTCAACAGAGAATATGTGTAGAGCAGAGCAGTTAGTGGGGATGTCCTGAGACAAGTGAAGAGGGTCTCTGAGGAACCAGGTGAGGAAAAACTCTCATCCCAGCTGGGCCAGAGCTGCAGGCAATGTGTTGCTGTCTCCCCAGACACTGTGCTTGTTGTCCTCATCAAGCTGTCTGTGGTTGGTCGTGGGGCACTCTTCAGGCTTTCAGGGAAGGGAAGAGACAGGGAGGCAGGATGGTGATGTGGAGAAGGGCAGCACCACCGCACCTGGTGTTGAGCGCCAGCTAGGCCGTTATTCCCTGAATAACTTTGGGCAAGTTACTGAACCTCTCTATGCTTCCATTTCTTCATTGATGAAATCAGAATGGTAATAATCATTCCCACCTCTTAGGCTTGTCCTGAGGATTAAATAAATTAGTACATCTTCTAATACTTAGAACAGTGCTGGCTAATGGTAAGCATTGAGTGAGTTCGCTCTTTTATTAGCGATTAGTGAGGCAATCATTGATGGTGGCATTCTTCAAGTTAGAAGTGGTTCTATTTTATCTCTAGTCTTGCACAACAGTCATTTCGGACTTGCTGCATTTCCTGGACCAGTTTGAACCCTGAAGGAGATATCAGTTTGGCCATCTCACCTTTCTCTGTTCTCAGCCAAGTTACTAGTAGCAATCTGAGTGATATTAGATTAGTCTAGTACTTTCTGGGTCTCTCTGGAGGTTTATAAAAATTAACTTGGATGAAAGAGGCCTCCTCAGGGTCGTTTTCCTCAGGGATATGGAGTGATTCTGGTCTGGTATATCCCTCGGGGATACTGAAAAGTTTGCCCTGTTTAGGAGACCTGCTAGACCAAGGCAGTACAGGTCAATCCCTGGGGCTGAGGCAGACCTGCTTCTGGAATTGAGGCTGAATTCAAGGGAGCACCCCAGAATGATGCCCCCAACCCCCCATCAACAGCTCTACATGCTTCACTCTTCTGTTTCTCTGTATACTGGTTGCCTCTTACCATATGGTACTTAACTTCATTTTACAAGGGTTACCTTGGGATTTGGGCATCGCCATTCCCATAATAGAATCTGGGTATATGGATAAATCCACTGAGGTAACTTCTTGTTGACCAAAGTCGGGGTGAGGATGAATCTTCAGTGAACTTCTGGTTATAGACTGATCTTGGTGATCTATGATCAGCAATTTATGTCCAGTGGAATTTTAGGAAAACAAATAGGCTATTTCTTACCTATCCACAAGTATGACTCCCGTCACCCTCTATCAGAGAGATGACTGAAGTCTTTTTACTTCAGTTACAAAAGATTCCTGTAAAGGAAAAAAAAAAAGATAGAATGGAGTCACTATGGAGACTCTGTCACCTGTAAAAGTGCCATTCTTCTCTCAAAATTCTTTATAATGGCTTGAGGGTTGTAAGTCACACAATGAAAATACAAAGTCAAGCAGGGGCTTTGAGGATGAACTTGGCCAGGGGCAGGGGATCCTTGGAAATAGAAGTTTGCTTTGAATTTTATTCTATTAATGGCTTGAGCAGCTGTGTCAAATAGGCATTAAAGTTTGCTCGTCATTCCAGAATTCTTATTGATGAAAAATGTGTATGGATTGAAGGAATCTAAGAACTTTGGGGCCTTTACTTATTTCTTACTCAAATGAATACAATTTTGGTTTAGGTGAAGCATAACATGTTTAAACTTTGGCTTATTTTTTTCAATCAGTAACATTTGTTGGAGTTGTCCACCACACTAGGCATTGGTCTAAAAATAATGAATCATATACCAGAAGGCGATCTCCAGAGATCCTGAGGGACATGTGCCGTTATCATATCTGACAGTAATGAATATGTCCGATTAGAAAATTTAACCTACACAAATATTTTTAAAGCCCATTTACCTTTCAAAGTATTTCACTTACACTGATTTATTTGCTTTGGCATCTCTACTCTGAAGTCAATTTAAGAGCAGACTCTTGCCTCTCATGCCCAGTGGGGATGTTTAGTATTTGTTAGTCTCTTGGCCCTTGTAGGGAACATTCCCATGGAAAGTGGGAATTTCTTTGCCTTATTGTGGTTTTTAGCTTTCCTCACTCTCTCTCCATTGCTCCCGTACCCCACTCAGCTGGAATAAAAATCCTGAGTGATATACCACATTACTCACATTAGAAAGTTTAAGGAAAGTGCTGTGAAGGAAGGAAGAATATTTCCTTTCCTTAATGTCATTCATAAAACTTATTCTATGAATCTGTAATGATTAAGAGTCCTGTCAAGAATTTCAATAACAGTTTTCATATGTTAACTTACTCTAAGGAATTCAGAATGCAGATGTATTCAGATTTTAAAAATCTGTTTTTAATTCTTAATGGAAAGGAAAATTGGATGGTTATTTATTTTAAAACAGAATATACCCTGAAATTCACTAATAACTATATGACATATAGCAAGTAAGGAACAGATATTGTTATTATCTATAATTTATAAGTAGAGAAACTAAGATATGATGATTTGGCTAAATGGTTTGATCATGGTTATGAAGAGAAACTGGAAGTGAGGAAGGTTTGGCATTGGGGTTTTGGATAGACCCTAAAACAAGTCAAGAAGCTAAAAGTGGTGTCAATTTTCTACATAGGTGTATTGACATTTGAGAAATTTAATCTGGAATTATATTTTTAGGAATACATTGCATAGTAATACATTATTTTTCATATTGGGGTTAATATGCTTCCAAAATCTAATGTTGCACCTCTCGTACCAGTGGGAAATAATTTTTATTATAGCAACTGTCACGGGATTGTTAGGAACTGATGAGTGATAATTACATGGCCTAACTCAATCTCCACTGAGTATGTATAATAAATAATGGTAGGAAAATTATTGGTACATGAAGTTCTCCTGTAAGTAAAAAAATGGAAAGTAATTTAATTAATTTGGCAAAAGAAATTAATTTTAGTAAGTGTATGAAAATAAAAGGGAATATTCAAGAATTTGATGACATGTCTCCTGAAAGAACTTTAAGAGTACAGAATAAAGAAAAAGGAAGGTTAAGATTGAACAAAATCATTAGATGCTCAGAATCATTAGGAGAAATGTATTTCTACCTCTACTGCTAACCACATACTAAGCCAGACATGCGA